AGGTAATATGCTTAAGAAATTATTGCCAAGAAATAGAGTATTTAGCGCTTTTGTGCATTTTTGTTGTCTTTCGATCTATGAATCATGTTTTCCCTACGAAGCGTTCCATGAAGCACATTAACTTTAATGCTTGGTGAGTCTACTTATTATAAGCTTGTATATGAGTATTTATTTGTTTTGGTTCAGTGAGCGCATCAATCCAAAAATACGTAATATATGCTGCGGGAGAGTGTGAGTCACGCTGCTGTCACGTGCCAAAATCACGTAACCTTTTTTTTACTATTTATCACTTATCCGTAATTTGAATTTCTCTTCATTGATAATAGGGTGTCCATTCCTCGGCCAAACCCATTTCAATGATTTTCTTTTGGCAAATTTAATAGTTTATTGATTGTATAATTTCACTCGAATTATACTAAGTGACATATAAATCCGAACACCCAGTTTAAATGGTATTATTTTAATAAAAGTTGGTGAATGTATTTATCTTACTGTAAATAACAAGTGAAAAATTTTCGGCCTTATCAGTTGGACATTCCGGTTTTTAAACTGCTTTTTTTTAATTCACTAACGCTCTAAAAATGAATATTTCAGCCGCAGTAAAGAATCAACGTTGGCGGATTTTGGTTCTTGACATCCTTTACGATCGGTTACGATGCCTAGAGTACGGAGACCTGTACGATTTCGTCAACTTAGTGAGTTTGATAGGGGCCGTATAGTGGGACTTCGGGAACACTGTGGTTAGGTGTTGTCAGGCATGGCTTCAAGAAGGCCGTACGCAAAGAGCAAGGGGCACTGGACGCCGCCGTAGAACAACAGACCGTGAAGATCGCCGCCGTAGAACAACAGACCGTGAAGATCGCCGCCTAAGATTATTGGCCTTAAGGGACCGTTTCTCCAGTACCAGGTCCATTGCAAATGAATGGTTTGCAGAACACGGAAGACCTATTGGCATGCGAAGTGTTTACCGACGAATGAGAAGTTTTGGCTGGTTTTCATACCGGCCACACTGGGTCCTCGCTTTAACTCGAGAACACCGACGTAATCGCCTTGAGTGGTGCAGACAACGGTCACTCTGGGATCAGGAATGGAACAGTATTGTCTTTAGTGACGAGTCTCGATTTTGTTTAGGCATGCACGATGGTCGTGCCAGGGTTAGAAGGCGACGTGGTGAAAGGAGCAATCCACAGTTTTTTGTTGAAAGACATGTTCATCACACTGTTGGAGTTATGGTTTGGGGTGCTATAGCTTATGGTTCCAGGTCACCTTTAATCTTCATCAGAGGTAACATGAACGCGCAGCGTTATATCCACGAAGTTCTAGAACCCCATCTTTTACCCCATCTTGACACCCTGGCAGATCCAACTTTCCAACAAGATAATGCCCGACCACATGTTGCAAGAGTCACAAAAGACTTCTTTCAACATGATGTCACATTGTTACCATGGCCACCAAGATCTCCCGACTTATCCCCAATTGAGCACGTGTGGGATATGATGGGTAGGAGATTGCTCAATTTGCAACGTCCTCCTCAGACTCTAGAAGCACTTCGGGAGGAGTTGGTGGTTGCCTGGAATGAGATACCACAGGAGGACCTTGACCACCTGATCGGAAGCATGAATAGGCGCGTTGGAGAATGCGTAGCACATCAGGGTGCATCCACATATTATTAAAGGTCAAAGGGCTTTAAAGCAGTGCAATCATTTTGAAATTTTTATCATTTGCTTATTATGCTTCATTAAGTACTTATACAAAATTTTATTAAAATAAAACCATTTAAACTGGGTGTTCGGATTTATATGTCACTTAGTATATATCTTTCTTTCTCAGCGATTCAGTATGGTGTTGACGATCAGCAAAAAACTGTAGTTTTTCGCCGTTAGTTGGTTTCCTATAAAACATATCTTCTTCAAGGCCACTCAAGATACCTTCTTCTAGAACGTTACGTGTACGGCTTGATTCGCTTTTCTGTTTCCGTTGAGGTCGTGGTGCAGGGATGGTTTCGTCATTTTCCGGACTCTGGGATATTAGGCCCCAAGCACCAATTCATGGACTAGCACCTTTTTTTTGTGTAACTTAAGTTTAGTCATTTTGGTTTGGGTGCTACGTCTTCCATTTTTTTTATGCGATTTTGACCCTCAGCGGTAAGTTCTTTTTTATATACCTTCGGACCGCGTGCCTTAATGCGTGTCCTGATGACGTTCGTTCCATATCTGCTTCCTTTTAGTCAATAGAAACAGAAGAGAATCATCATCATTTCTCCTCCAGTTGGTTGCATCTTGTTGCAGCTTTACAAATTGGTGGAAGCCATCCCCTTGAAAAAAACCCTGATGTGGACAGGTAAAATATCATTCTAATTAACAATTTCATAGATCTTTATACATTTATTATTGTTTATTGAAATTCTTAGACACTTCTTGATTTTATTGGACATTATAAGTATTCAAATATGGGGGCAGTGCTTACATGGCACCTTCTATTACATTGATCATGATTTTGATTTTTGAGCTGCCATGACTTTTTAGAACAAGGTATATTAGTTTAGTACATTTTTATCTTTTTTTTTGCGTTTGCTTTACTTTTCTTGTACAAAAAATGTACATGTGCGATTGTTTTCAATGAGTAGTTTTATCTCAGACAGAGAGCAGAGTAGATTTTTAAACAGTCTTTCTCTCTCTAGGGTTTTTTTTATTACCATTATTTTTTTTATTTTATTAACCAAAAAAAGTCGTGGCACTGCAATCGCTATGTGTTCAGACATGATTTTTCGCGCTCGAAAAGTATTTACGTAGTGAAGGTATACAGGGTGACTTTGAAGTTGAGTCATTAATTTTCAGATAATGATTGTAGAAGGAAGATAAACCAAAATATGTGTGTAAAAATAAAAAAAAATAAAAAAAAAATTTACCTTGTTTTATAAAGTATCCTCCCGACAAGTATTTCAGTGCGGACCTATATTTGATCGTGAGGTCTTGGAGCACCGGCATGCCGTCCATATGTGAGGTCTTAAGTCACCTGATTCACGAACCCGTTGTACTACATTAACAAAGGCACGAGGGGTTGGTTGCACTCGATTGGGAAACCGATCTGCATAAACATGTGCCATTTTTTATTTCGTTTGAGCCACGCAACAGACACCACTATTCACTACCGACTGACACTGACTGTATACAACTGAATGAAATAATTGTAAAAACATCGTTCCAAATTCTTTCGCTTTTTTGTTTCCGATGCGATGAACCGATAAGGCGGATTATATCCGTTGTCGCCAAACACGAGCACATAATATTATTATTGAGACAGTGCGGTACTCAAACTTCCAAAGGGCTATAACTTTGTTACTTTAATTTTACCAAAAAAATGGTAAAGGAAAAAAACATTTCTTTTGATCAGATCTACTCACTGTTAAAATAAATGACTCAACTTCGAAGTCATATCTATTTGCAGATGGGCGAAAAATGGCTCTTATCAGCCCACCTCCTTTGACTTTTGGTCTGAATGAATTTATGAAGCTCCAACATTTGGAAAGCATAACATTAAAGAAAACCCCATACTGTAACGATTAAAAAGCTAACTGAACATGGCGACATGCCTCTTTGCTCTTAACAGAGAACTTCCTGACGTGAGAAGCGCCACTTGCTGACGATAGGGTCAAAACTTTATCTGTAAACATTTTAGTGCGGTGTGAACGCCCTCTGCCATATGTGTAACACGATACTGGCTAAATGGGCTTTTCGGCGAAACAGAAGCATTAGTACTTGCAATTAAGAATAAGGATGTGGAGCAGAGATGTAAGGATTCTCTGAGGAAAGCAGTAAAAGGGTGGGAATATCGTCGCTTGATAGATAAAATTACGGGAGTTTATTTCTAACTTGGCGTTATAATAGTTTTATTGAATTTAATTATTTCTACTACCAGGAAATCAATAAAATTATTTAAAAAAAATCAATAAGTGTGGTTCGGTTTACAAAAATTGTTGTCGTCTTGTCAAATCGATATTAATTCTTCTTGAAAAGTCTCTTGCAGTTTCTAGTCAAGTTTCTTAAAAAAATGTTTACTTGATTACTGTTTTTACTTTGTATGCCAAAACTGGCGACCGACAAACTGACATAAATGAGAAACACGGACTTGTGTGATGCAGATATCTTTAAGCAACAGAAAACTTGTCATCCTAGGTTCAAATATTATAGCGAGCTTAATACTTCCATCGTCTAGGAAGTCGTAGATTTTGAAAATCAAACTCAGAAATTGCAACTTTGTTAGACTTATCGCGGTACAGTGTGAGAAATATTGTAAGAAGATATAACGTAACTGGTTCAGTTAATATTAAGCCACGATATGTGAAAAAAAGTAATATCACAAATGCCGACCGAAGAGCATTAGGAAGAATAATCGTGAAAAACAGGCGTGCCAATTATTTACAATTAAGTGCTTTGTGGAGTGACGCTGGAAGGAGAATTTCGAGGTCCACAACTCATAGAGAGGCCCACAAACTGGGATTTAGCACTTGCAAGGTAAGTTTTCTTATAAAAAAAGTTTGAAATGGGTTTCTAGCAGTCCAGATCTGTCACCTATTGGAACTTTGTGGCACGAGATAAAAAAGGTTCTACGACAACATCCTGCTCGTACAATCACCGAACTGAGACAAAAGCTTCAAGAAATATGGGATTGTTTTACACCAAATGTTTGCCAAAACTTGGTTAACACTATGCCCCAAAGAATTTCAGCCGTATTAAAAGTAAAGGTGATGTTACGCAATGGTAATCTTTCAATTGTTGCTTTGTTAACTTCGCGCATTTATTCGCCCATTGTTTATTTGTTCAGATGTTCTATTAGTTATAGGTCTAAGTGATTTCAAATATGTATTTTTTACGACTAGAGTGTATCTAAAATGTTTTTGAGAAAATAAATTGTTTTAGAAGTAAAAAGTTTCGTCATGTTTAGTTGATAAAGGCATATTTATTATATATATTAGGAAGGGGCTCGTAGTCCCGATCTAAGTCGTAACGATTTCTTTACTTTCCCGAAAATTTAAAAGAGACTGCGTGGTCAAAGGTTCCAGTCACCAGAAGAAGCAGTTGACGCATTCAAAAATGCCGTTTTGGATCTGCCAGCAAACGAGTGGAATAAGTGCTTCGAAAATTGGTTCAAGCGCATGCAGATGTGTATTAATCTTCGTGGAGAATACCTCGAAAAACAATAAAGTCATTTAAAAGACATCCCTCGTATCTTCCATGGCAACATGAAGATGATAGAGATGTCGACACTACTTGAAAAAATAATACAAAATGGTGAGTTCGCACGAAAAACTCAAAGAGGTAGTCTTCAAGTAGTATCAGATATGATAGTCTGCTGTACATATCTGAGCGCTTTCGAAAACTATTCAATACATCTTAATGTAGCCTTTGATTTAGTACCAATAGAAATAGACCAATACATATACCAAGATCTCAATCTGTTTATGAAAAACTTAAGGTCAAAGATGGACAAGTATTATGGAAACGAAGCTTTTCCGGAGCTACAAGTATCCAGGGTGGTCAAAAACGCCATGGCAATATTTCTGGAACAAAAAGTTCGTTCAAGAATAACAAATAAAGTTCCTATGTTGGGCTAGCTCTAGAGTATACTAAGTGACATATAAATCCGAACACCCAGTTTAAATGGTTTTATTTTAATAAAATTTTGTATAAGTACTTAATGAAGCATAATAAGTAAATGATAAAAATTTCAAAATGATTGCACTGCTTTAAAGCCCTTTGACCTTTAATAATGTGTGGATGCACCCTGATGAGCTACGCATTCTCCAACGCGCCTAGGCATGCTTCTGATCAGGTGGTCAATGTCCTCCTGTGGTATCTCATTCCAGGCAACCACCAACTCCTCTCGAAGTGCTTCTAGAGTCTGAGGAGGACGTTGCAAATTGAGCAATCTCCTACCCATCATATCCCACACGTGCTCAATTGGGGATAAGTCGGGAGATCTTGGTGGCCATGGTAACAATGTGACATCATTATGTTGGAAGAAGTCTATTGTGACTGTTGCAACATGTGGTCGGGCATTATGTTGTTGGAAAGTTGGATCTGCCAGGGTGTCAAGATAGGGTAAAAGATGGGGTTCTAGAACTTCGTGGATATAACGCTGCGCGTTCATGTTACCTCTGATGAAGATTAAAGGTGACCTGGAACCATAAGCTATAGCACCCCAAACCATAACTCCAACAGTGTGATGAACATGTCTCTCAACAAAAAACTGTGGATTCCTCCTTTCACCACGTCGCCTTCTAACCCTGGCACGACCATCGTGCATGCCTAAACAAAATCGAGACACGTCACTAAAGACAATACTGTTCCATTCCTGATCCCAGAGTGACCGTTGCCTGCACCACTCAAGGCGATTACGTCGGTGTTCTCGAGTTAAAGGGAGGACCCAGTGTGGCCGGTATGAAAACAAGCCAAAACTTCTCATTCGTCGGTAAACACTTCGCATGCCAATAGGTCTTCCGTGTTCTGCAAACCATTCATTTGCAATGGACCTGGTAGTGGAGAAATGGTCCCTTAAGGCCAATAATCTTAGGCGGCGATCTTCACGGTCTGTTGTTCTACGGCGGCGTCCAGTGCCCCTTGCTCTTCGCGTACAGCCTTCTCGAAGCCATGCCTGACAACACCTAACCACAGTGTCTACACTTCTTTGCACTCTAACTGCAATTGCCCGAAAAGAAAGTCCAGCTTCCCGAAGTCCCACTATACGGCCCCTATCAAACTCACTAAGTTGACGAAATCGTTCAGGTGTCCGTACTCTAGACATCGTAACCGATCGTAAAGGATGTCAAGAACCAAAATCCGCCAACGTTGATTCTTTACTGCGGCTGAAATATTCATTTTTAGATCGTTAGCGAATTAAAAAAAAGCAGTATAAAAACCGGAATGTCCAACTGATAAGGCTGAAAATTTTGTCACTTGTTATTTACAGTAAGATAAATACATTCACCAACTTTTATTAAAATAAAACCATTTAAACTGGGTGTTCGGATTTATATGTCACTTAGTATATTTCCAAAGTAGTATGGGTTGAAGTTTTTTATACGGATTTTATCTCCAATATTCAATCTAATTTTTCTCCTAACAGAGTAGTAGTCTGAAAAAAGTTCTCAAGGCAGGCAATACATGTAAAGTCGATATGATATTAGAAAAGGGTCAGTAGTGTAGTTATAAATTTTATTTTTTCTTCTGTAGAGGTCAACTTTTCCCGATTTCTATGCCACTGGTATAGTCTGAGTCTGACCATTTTCATATGTATTTCCTAATATCTATGCAGCACATGCCCATATCTTGGTACACTCCGAAGATGCATTTTTTTTCGATTTTATAACTTTAAAACCGTGTATGTTAGTAAGGGGTCATTTTAAAACACATATTTATATATAGAAATGTTGCCAGTGTTTACTGAATCACACTGAATGAACTTTTTTCTACTTCAACGCGAGAAATCAGCTTTTAAGTATACCTGGCAACATTCTGTAACACCCTGTATAGAGGAATTACATAGTTGAGTTCAGAAATACCATACACGGATAAACCCTATACGAGAATAACCCTATTACAATTTTTTATTGTGGGTAGACCCTATATATTTACTGCTTAGCTGTTCATAACCGGAAAAAAAACGGTTATATTGTAATCCATTTTGGGTCTTGGAAAATTATATTTTCTAAGGCCAATGCGTCATTTTCCATTCGCATAGAGCCTAAGTCATCGATATTCTATGGAAATGACCACTCTTCATTTTTTCTGTCTGTGATATACGACCGCCGCATCGATATTAGGATGGAACCATCCATCTTACTGGAGTCAATAAGCCCTCTTTTCCAACGTCTCGTCGCCTGATATATTGGCTGTAATTAAAAACTTTGATAAGAGGGTTCTCCTGATGTGTCCAATATCAGTTTTAATTGAACAGTATGTGTATATGATATTGCTTACTTAGCTAGCAGTAATGAGGAAGGATACAGAGCTACTGGTATAAAGGTGCAGATCTAGATTTTTTATAATGGAGCAACCAATAATATGGGTATATTAAGCCCGAATTATAAACTCTCCGTTTTTCGGTGCAGTTCAGTAGCAATTTATAAACTCCCAACTGCAACTGCCAATTCTCAGGACATACAGAACCTCAATCTCAAAGTGAAAATGTTGATTGTGATTGTCACAACCAGTATTTGTACGAAAATGTTCGTAAAGGTCTGACTAAAATGGATTCATGGGCCAATCAGTCAACTCTTTTCTAATGATCACTTTTATATTTTGAGGTTAACTGCAACTGCAAAAGCTACTTGACAGCACTGGTATCACGTAACTTGAAAAGTAACATTATGCCGATTTTTTTTTTAAATTATGCTGTTTTTTTTGACATTATGTAGGTTAGTCTACAAGATGTTATCTTAGCACTTAGTTGTACATGTTGCCTAAACGTCATGAGGCTTGTTATCAATCTTTGGCTTTGATGTGATGTAAAATCTGCTCCTGAGATGGCATTACTGGAGGTCTAAGCTGTAAGTTGTATGTGTTGATGATAATTACATTGCGACCCCTGCAACGAAGACTATTGTAACTCAATTTTGATTGAACTGAGATATAAGCATTTGAAAATTACTTTCTAATTTCGATCGAAGAGAAATAATAATCTCTATCCGATGCATCTTGCAGATACTATCAATTCTTTTACATCAAGGGTTATGAACGATATTACAATACAAAGTTATCAAAAAAAAATATTTTTGGAAAAATTTTGAAGACTTACTATAGTTTTCGTTGGATCAATTAAGGAAAAAAACACACATACTGTAGATGTTGTAAGATATTTATTGAAATAATACAGTATGTTTTAATATTGTCAATTTGAGTCACTCAAATTATTCTCATCTCCATGTTCATCTTCACTATCATCGTTCTCAACTTGTGTATTTTCAGTATTCTGACCTCTTTGTGTTATTTCTTTAGCTTTTAGGGAAAAATAAAAAGCATGGTTAGCTTCAGGGATGCTTGGAAGACTGTTTGATTTTGGTTTACATAGATCGAGTAAACCACTTAATTTTTTAGCATGTACTGGAAGCAAGCTTGTATATAGTAAAGGTAACTCCTGAGGTGAATTTTCCTTCATTCTCCTTCTTCGATTTCTCCTCAATTTTATTATACTGAGCTCATCAGCATAGTCATACTTGAATTTCATTTCATAAGGCATGTCTGAGGAGAAGTGTACCTCCCTTAATTTACTAATTTTCAGCTTTTCTCCGGAATCGTCTTTACTCCAGTTTTCCGAATTTACCTTTGACTTGAAACTAAAAAAATCCTTCTGAGACATCTCTTTCACGATGTATGGTCTTCCGGTTACTTTCGCCATGCGAATCAACATAATCCATTGATCGGGGGTATAAATTGCCGATTGCCGCTTTTTGGCATTTTCAATGACGGCGTGCATACTGTCCCCTTCGTTTTGTGTGTGACCTGTTTCTAGGAATCGATGGATTATCTGTAGATTCAGAGCCATAGAAGCATATGAAAACATCGAAAAAATGAAGCGGTTATGGTTTTGTCCACCGCAGTTGTCCGAGTAAAGAATAACTTTGTTTATCCCTTTCTCTTTTTGCTTTTTCAAAAAGTTTAAAATACAGCTGCTTATTTCGTTTGGCCCTCTCTTCGCAATTACTTCATGCCAAACGTAACAATAGCCTTCATGATTTCCCATGTCGTAAATGGTAAAGTTGTATGTGGCGAGTTTACTTTTGTAATAGAAGTCGCTTACAGCAGATTGGGGTGTCACCAGAACTTTTTGTAAGTCGAAGCACGCTGCGCTAATTGTCTTGTCATTGATTGCAGTTTCTTTATCTTCATCTTTTAAAGCTCTAGCAGCTTTCTTATTAGAAACGTGTTTTTCATACTTCTCTTGTATTTTCTGCTTATCTGGCGAAGTTGCTAGTTGATAGGCTACACAGAGACTGCATTGGTCCTTCTTTGGTTTATGGAATGCTAAATTGAACTCGGCATTGATAACTTCTCTGTATTGTCTTAAAGTTCCTACTTCTGTAGCATTTCTCTGTTCCATGTACTTTAAGTAGAGGCGATGCATAATTGAAATGTTGAGACCATCCTCTAAGTACATCTTTGTTGATTTTTTCCTGGTATAGTGGGAAGGCACCACAGGAAAGAGTTGAATGTGCTCTCTTATCCCATTTAAGACACCTCCGTCAATTTTATTTGGTCTTGTCAGGTGCTTCCCTCGACGATCTTCTTCAAGAGTGCCAGTTTCTCCAATTTTTCCTAGAGCAGTCGTCACCCACTGCTCTGATATTCCATAGGTGTTCAGGAACATAGTTTTACAAACCGTTATTTCCTTGTTGTTGACAAGAAGCTGGTATGTTCTAGAATGATTTCGTCTTGATTTGCTATCTGTCCGTTTTACGTGCTTCTTCTCCACTGTTTTGACATACCTAACTATGTAATCCCATTGTCTAGAATGATCACCTATTTTCCAAAACTCCTCGAACAATGCTTTTCTCTCTTCCTCACTTATTTTTTGACGACATTTATTTCTGCAGTTTTCTTTACATGGATTCTTTATCTGTTTGGCGGGAATAATTTTACCTTTCCGGTTTTTATGTTCGATGCCCAAGTTTAATTCCTTCTTAGCTCGAACATCAATCCACTCATTTGTATTTTTTACACGTTTTCTGCCTTTCCTTTCTTTGGGCGTTATCTTACGCTTTTTAGGCACCTGAATTCGGTTTTTGGTTTCATGAGGTATAAATGGCACAATAGATGAATCAGAATCTGTTGTTTCTTCGGGTACATAAATAGGATCAATATCCGAGTCGTCTGAGAAATTTCCTTCCGTATTCGTAATGTCATGAGGTGTATCAAGAAGTACTACTGATGGATCTGTTTGTACAAAATTAAATCCAACTTCTATAGGGTCCTCTGCAGGGTGGTTGCTGGAAGCAACAGCTGTATCAGGCAAAGGGGCTCGCACATCCTGTACATTGACTACTGCACCAGCATACGCAGATTCCGTAATAAGACAGTTATCTGCACCTACAAAAATAAATACCTGTAAGAATCTATAAGTAGGAGAGAAAAATCAATGTAGGTATAACATGATTCCAATGCATAACAGGCAAATGTGGATACTAAGCATGAACCAGAAAGAAAGAATTAATTACCCATGTTAGAAAATAATAAAATAATTACAAGACAAACTTACCTGAACCTGATGCATCATTTAGCTTCTTTGCATTTTCCAAAATGACTTTGGTCCTAGAATTCATTCTAGTTCTCTATATTTATCTATTTTCAGACAGCTACTACTTAAAACGTTTTGGGTTTAAATAATCATAACCTCGAATTATACCGCGAAGATTATAGTATGTCCAAACATAGAATGCCTACCGCGATTTTTTGCATCGAAAACTATAGTAACTCAACTTGATGTACTTTTCGCTGACAGCAATGTGAGTGATTATACTTACTATAATTCACGAAAGTTATACTGATTGCCTATGGTTTCATAATTGAGATACTATATTCTTCCTCGAACGAGAAGCATAATATATCTATCGATACCTTATAGTAAGTCAAAAGTAAGGATTTTTGAGTTACTATAGTCTTCGTTGCAGGGGTCGATTGGGTTCTTGTCTCAAATACACTTAATTGAGATTCAAAGCTAGAAATTAGTTACGCATCCACTTTTTCTTATCCATTCTGGAAATTAAATATACAAATTTGCTGAATTTCAAAAATGAGAGAGATAAGAAATAATTATATTCACTGTACACTGTCGAATTACAAGCCATATACATGCTAACAGTAGTTACACACAACGCGCGCGCGGTGATGATTTCCCGTAATTCTCCTCAGTTTTTCGTAATTTATAACTTTGAACATAAACTCTCTTCAGGAAGCACAACATATAAATAACCCCTCATATTCGGCATATTCAGTAAATATCACTGATTTTATACACGTGCAGACCAATACACATAATCATCCAGATGCGATCTTGCTATTCAACCAACTTTCTTCTCAGAGATAAAAACTACAGACCCGGATTACTCAGCCTCACAAAACAATGCAACCAGTAATCAGTGTTGCCAGAGCGAAGTTTAAAATATCCGTCACACGCAAAATTCCGCTACATGCCGCTACGGTCTAAAAATTTAAGGGGGGGGGAGGCTTAAAATAAACAACAAATATATTTTTTACATATTTACTTTTTTTTAAACACTGTCTAAAAACCCTACTAAAAATACAAACAGTAACATAATATAATTGGAATTTTTCGTAAAAACATAAAAAGTATACCTCTAAAAAAGCAAAACTGTCTTTGGTTTAGAATTAGGAACTAATAAAAAAATAGAAACTATCACCAATATCTTAATCTTAATAGAAAAAAAAAACAAAAAATAAGGACAAAGAAGAAGCGGAAACGTGGAAATGCCTACGTTTGCTTATTTTATTCACAGTCAGAATCAGAAATTACTTCTTCTTCAGCTTGTTCTTCCTTATTACATTATATAAATTCTTTTTATATTTGTTTAAATGATTATCATTAAAACTAAAGGATAAACAGCACTGTTTTTTTGATTCCAAGTCTAATTTAATTGTAAGTAGTGCAGACAAAGTTGATCATTTTCAATAGGTCCCAACCAGCCTTTAAATAACGGATCTTCTAGCAATGATGAAGTAAACATTTGTTTTCGTGTCTTTTTCTTAACAGGTTGCTCTGGCTCTTGGTTATCCTGAGATACGCAAGTCGAATTATCAGGCTCAGACCTGATTCCACTAGATTCCGCTCTTCTATTTTGTCTGTATTCAGGTTCGGGATGCTCCGAGTCCGACATTGATGCAGTCGAAGTGGATTGTACGGCCACGTTTGGTTTCACCGTTTGTTTTTTAGGAGGATTTTTATCAAAAAAATCGTTAATGGTCTGCTGTCGCCTTTCCATTATTCCTATTTTCCAGAAGAAAAAGCGTTAAAAACAAATTTCGCGACTAAGATTTATTTCTGGTTCAAACTATAATATGTTAGATATTTAAGCAGTTTTGTTACTTACCAGTAGATTTAATATTAAAATCTGCAGCAAATGATATATCAATAAAATGATCAACACAAAAATAAGAACACTAATAATATGACTTTTTTACGCCTTTCTCTAGGGGTTTTCATTTGTTGTATATGTATATATATGTATATGTGTATATATGTATTGTATGTATGTATTTATGTGCATATATGTATACCTGTATATGTGTATACTCATATATGTGTGTATGTGTATATGGATATTTGTGTATATACCAGTATATTCTGGTTTCCTAATATCTATTGATCATATTTATAGTTTCTTTTTTCTCTACTTAAAGCGCCTTTCTCTTTTCTGTGTGTTTTTTTTTTATTTTTGTTTCACTTTATGACACACAGACTGTGTAAATTAAACCATTGTATTATGTATTGCTCTCTAAATGGTACCTGTACTGTTGGGCAATAAATGCTTTATTATTATTTCCAATCGACTTATTTTGAGTCTAAAAATACGTGGTACTACCATGTCCATGGAATTTTGGGGCACCCTGTATATCAGTTATTGGGAATAAGTGGCTTTTGAAGGTAAGGCTCCTTCAGATGCGAGGAAAATAGTTTTTTTGTAATGTCAAAATTTATGGCGTGCCCTTATCATTGCTTCTTACGATAATAACTCAAAGATACTAATACCCAGAGCTGAAAAATACAATACAAAGCGAGAAACCTGCCTGCTGAGACCTGTTAGAAACGATTAGTATTGAAAGCAGTACGTACGCCATCTGTTATTGAAAAAAAAGGCAAGTGGAATAATTCTCTTCTCTGTTCCTAGATGGCTCAAGCGGCACCAAATGCACCAATTTTATTATTAATGTGATAATAAATCAGATTATAGCCACTGCCTATTTAGGATTTAGAACGTTATTAACGTTAAAACAGTGAAATAAATATGATAGTTTTGTATGTAATAAACTCCGCTACATTTTGGGCTAATTTGCTCTACCGCCGCTACGCCGCTCTTCTCAAAATAATCCGCTACAAATAGCGGAATTTCGCTACGTATGGCAACACTGCCAGTAATGCGTAGTTTAGTTGAGTGATTCCTCCATACTTGGACGTTCGCAATGATCCTAGTGAGCGAACGTGGAATGACTGTTTGCGCCCTAAAAACTACCTAGTCTGCAAGTTGACATCTTATAGGTTTTTTTTACGTTTTATAGGTTTTTTACATGATACCCGTGCAGGTCGAAAGACCAACGGCAACTAACAACGACGAACGTGGAGTCTATAAATCGGACTTTATGGAAGAGAGCAAAATCCATCCATGGTATATCGGTAGAATAAAGAGTGTCTCCGCGATTATGCATCTTGACAAGTGACATTATGTAGGTTTTTTGACATTATATAGGTTTTTTGTGACAACAACAAGTTAACATTTTTTTTCGATACTGTATAGGTTTTCTACTTAATAACCCCTTTTAACAAATCTGCATGCTAACATGCCTGAAACAGCGTCAAAAATTGTTTAAACAAATCCCAAAAGTTGTTTCTTTTTATGTTCTTTTTTGTCATTCTCGACCTAAAAGGTTTTTCAAATTCTTCTCCAGTTTTCGAGGTAAAAACGGTTTAATATTTGGAAAAGTAAAATGTGGCTATTCTTCGACTCCGAAAAATAATGCGAAAAAACGAAAATTTTAATGTCGCAAAAGTTCTTAAATATTTTTCAAACATGTATTGAGAAGGTCCAAAAGCAGGAGTTACTGATACTGTTAACCTTTGTTTTTAATTATCAATCAAGCGTGCGCTCAATGTAGCCGCAATAAAAAACTTCTAAAATGCTTTAGGGTTTCATTCATGGATGTTTGTAGAATACTTGGACACTATGACAACATTAAAAGTTTTGTTTTTTCAAATTATTTTACGGAGTCGAAAATGGCAAGGTTCGCATCGATACGGATTTTTGTGAGCTGCAGCTTTAGATGGCCCCAGCTTACTGCGATCCCTGTTAGAATTCGTCATCAGCTCTAGTTCATCAACAAATATTAGTTGAATAAGGCACCTACCAGATTATACAGGGTCTAAACGTTATGGGTAGTCATTATTGAAGTGGGTGATAGGGGAGTCAAAACAAGTCAAAAAGTTCATATGACCCATGGTCCAAAAGATTTTTGTCTAAATGGCTTTATAGTTTACAACTTTAAGTGCCTTATATCGACCACAATCACCACAATGTTACTAATTTTTATAATCTAATTTAAAACGTTTTAAAATTGGGTAATTAACAAATAAATGGCATTTAGTTTTTCTAAGTAAAGCCAGAATTTGTAGTCAGTAAGTGAGGTTAATTAAATTAAATATTTAAAAAACGCATGACAACAACGCGTCGGTCCTTCATCACTCTTATCTAACCGGCAATCGATCGCAAGCAGTAACAGTGGTTAGTTATCGTTTTGCATAGATAAATTACTTTATTGTTTTGTCCAGCAGAACATCGGGCGTGTTGTTTTGTTCTTGTTTGCGTACGTCGTCGTGTTTATTTACAATGTTCTCGAATCAAGAGTTCGCCGCGTAGAACTGTCGCATACCATAGTCCATAGAATCCTAAAGGAAAATTTGCTTTATCCTTACCATGTTCAACGAGTGCAGGCCTTGTTACCAGAAGACTATCCTCGCAGACTAACATTCTGTCAGAGGTTTTTGCACAAAAATATTGAAAATCCGCATTTTTTTAAAACCAATCTAGCGACGGACGAATGTACTTTTACGCGAGACGGGATATTAAATTTCGACTCGCACGTGGCCCCAAGAAAATCTTCTTACCATTCGTGAAGGTCCTTCGAAGAACGTTTTAAATTAAATATTTGGGCGGGTATTCTTGACGATCAGGTAATTGACCCTTTCGAGTTACCTCCAAAGTTGTCAGGAGAAGGATACCTTAGCTTTCTAGCCAATAACATACCATAACTTTTGGAACAGACCTTAGACAACATGCCATTACAACGAAGACAGAATTTGT